ATCTGATAGTACACCCCCTGAGGGCCTCTTCACTTCTGATTTTGAGGAAGAGAAGGACCCTGCCTCTATGGCACAAACAGGGGAGATTTTTATGGAAGATGAGGCATGCAGTCTCGAAAATAATACTGTGATTGAAAAACCGAGGAAGCCTCTGCTTTTGACTACCTCTGGGCAAGATACAGATAATAAGAATGATATGCCTCATGTTGCTCCTCATGATCCCATACCCGACCACAATGAGGAATTTTTTGGGGAAGAGGATGAAGAACCCCTATTGAGGTTGTGTCTAGGAAAAGAAGGTTGGTCAAGGCTTGTGATATAAAGAGTCAAAGGTAGTAGTTAATGAGGAACCACCTTGGAAGAAGACCGGTCTCAAAGGGTTGTGATTGAGTCACCTAGGAACTCTGAGACTGATGTTGTAGCATCGCAGCAACATTCCTCTAGACCTAAGAGGAAGAGGGTGGCTATGGCCCAAAGGCCAGCCACCATTCCAAGGCTGATCAGACCCCACAATGGTTTTAGTTCTAAGGCTGCTGAAAAGATGCATGCTAGGTTCCAAAACAGGGTTGGATTCCCAGACAAGGGATTTGATAGGCAAAGCATTAGGGAATTCGCATTTATAAGGGAGGTGGTAGAGGCCCATGGTATAGAAAAGATGTGCATGGTTCCAACTTCCTATAACTTGACTCTAATTAGAGAGTTCTATGCTGAGTTGGCAGCAAATAGCACATCCAAGATATCGATTAGGGGGATGACTTTCATGTTTAATTCTAAAGCCATCAATCAGCTTTATGGCCTAGACCCCCCTAAGAAGACTGATTACTCTAGAATGGTGAGGCATGCGACCATAGAAGATTTGACTGAGGTGGCTGATGAGATAGGAAAACCAGGGGCTGTTTGGGATGATCACTCGAACTATATGTTAAGGACTTTTAAGGCCTACAATCTTACGACCAATGCCAATGTGTGGATTAACTTTTTGAGGCACTCCATTGCTCCCACCACACATGACAGCTCAGTCTCGGTGGAGAGAATGTTGTTGCTCTATTGCCTAGTTACGGGTAAGTCCATCAACTTTGGGAGAGTGTTAGAGAAGAGTATTAGGACATGTTCGGGCAGAAGTAGGGGGAAGATGTATTTCCCTTGTTTGATCACACGACTGTTGGTAGAAAATGGTATTCCTCAGTATTGTGAGGAACAAATAGTGAAAGAGCAAGGGGAGAAATGGAAGATTGATATGAAGACAGTTTCTAGAGTGAGGGAGAAGAAGGAGAAAGTGAATGGGGCTGCTGATATGTTGTGTTTGATGCAAGACATGCTTGCTCAAAACAGCAGTTTGATGGATAGCTTGTTGGAACAAATAAATTAGTTCTTTGACAAAATAGACAGATTGAAAGGGGAGCTGGTTGAACAAGTGAGGGATGCCAAGAAGAAGACAAGAGGAGACATCAAGATGGTAAGGGCTGAACTTGAGGCAAAGACAAGTGCTCAAGTGAAGAAGTTCGGAAAGAAGTGGAAAGCCTTGAAGACAGAAAATTCAAGGCTGTTTGATGTGAATGCTCGATTGAAGAAGGAATGCAAGAAGCTGAAAGACAGCATCTCCACTTCACCTACTCCTATGGAGTAGGACAGGTTCTATCATCCCCCTTTAGCTTCTTTTATTTATTTTATTTCAACTTGTTTTAATTTTCTTGAGTCTGGGATTGTCTTTTATACTTTTTAGTTTATTTTCTTGCAAAGAACACATATGTTTATAATTGACATATGCTTGTATAGCTAAAATAATTCTTGTAGTTTAGTTACACTTTCTAGTCACTTGGTATCACTAGAACTAGCTTGTTTTGCTTGGGAACACATTTTGATCCACATCATATGCTCCACTAAGAAAGGATGTAGGCCCTTTGTTCTTTTCTCATGATTTAGCCACTTGTAGCCATTGCATAAACAGCCCCCATATACTTCCAATGAGGACATTGAAAAATCTGAGTTTGGGGGAGGGTACCAACATCATTATATTGATCAAAGAAAATGCAAAAAAGCATAAAGTGCCAAAAGTGGATATCAAAGTGCACAAAGTGCATAAAACTTCAAAGTCATATTTGAGATCTAAAACACCACAAATGTCCCATAGGGGCAGGTGTAAACACCACAAATGTCCCATAGGGGAAGGTGTAAATGCATTCAACAAAAGAGCACAAAAGTGCCAAAATTTTGAAAAATTCAATGTTGATGCATAAAGGAGATAAAAGGCAAAGAAAGGAAAAAAATGTCCCAAATGAGAGTAAACCAGTTACTTCCAAGTCCTATTGATCTTAGAACATATGATGTGTTGAGCATAACAAAGAGCAAATAGAGCTAGCTTATAGTTTATGCTAATGGTTAGTTAGAATATGCTAACTTGAGATTTATGAAAGCTATATGGTGCATTTTCACATAATCAACATGTGTGTATGAACTTACTGCATTTTCTTGCAAAATTTTCAAAATTGAGTCATTTTTAGTTGTCTTTTGGTTGCTTGGGGACAAGAAAACGGTTTAAGTTTGGGGGTGTGATACGTACTAAGTATTTAGTACGTAAAGTACCTTTTTATTCTCTTTAGATAGGTTATTTTCCATTTATATCCCAACTTTGAGTCATTTTATCTATTTTCTCTATTTTTATGCTGAATTAAATGATGAACCTGTTTCTAGTGGATTTTGGTCTAAATTAAGCTTATTTTGGACAGATTGGAGCACGTCGATGTTGTGGGAATGTGGTAGCATGACCTGATGGCAGATGAAGAGATGGATGAGACTTGGAGTTGACTGACATGACTTGCGAAGACATTTGAGAGCTTTCTAAAGTGAACCAGCTGTAGTTTAATCAGATTAGCTGGAGTTTNGGATGAGACTTGGAGTTGACTGACATGACTTGCGAAGACATTTGAGAGCTTTCTAAAGTGAACCAGCTGTAGTTTAATCAGATTAGCTGGAGTTTACAAGACTAATTGTAGTTACTTTCTAAATATTAGTTTGCTATTATGTACTTTTTAGTTTCTTTTGAACTAGTTGGGTGTGAATTTACCTTTTTGCCCTCATTCCATCCCTAGTATAAAAAGGGATGTTGGGAGGAGTTTTCATTACACCTCAACACTTCTACTCCACACTTTTCTCTCAAGTAGTTCTCCAAACTACTTGGAGAACAAGTTGTCTTCTAAATATTATTAATCTTTTGGCATTTCGAGTTCCTTTTAATCGCTTTATTTAATCGCTTTCTTTATATTATCGTTCTTAATATTCCGTCAGTTATTTATTTACGCTTACTCGCAATTTATTTACGTCATTCATTTATTACGCTTTCCGCATCTTTATTATTTCGTCATTTATATTCCGTCATTTACTTTCCGCATTTATTTTATGTCCTTACTTATCACAATTTATGTTTCTTGTCATTTACTTTTCGTCATGAGTAGCTAATTTTATTAGCTCGGGTGTATGACGAAAAGGATGAGTTTTAAACCAAAATATAGTCGACCCTTTCATGTAACGATGTTTTACTTTTTCATTTCAAGTTTTATAAAACCAATGACACTTCTTGACGAGTTGATCACTTTGAAAGTGTTAAAGTGCCGTGGACTCTAAGMTGAGCCATTGTTTGCACGTCAACTTGGATGAAATGGGAAGTAGACTTGAGAGAGATTCGTTGTCCGTATTTTCTAAGTTGTTAATTCTCGATGGGTTGATCACTCTGAAGTGTTAAAGTGGAATGGATTCAGAGATGAGCCATTCAGAACACGTCAACTTGAATGATATGGAAATCCACTCGAGAGGGTGATTTTTAACAAAAAGATTTGTTTGTCCATATACTTTGAAGACACCATTTGTCACTTTCACTAGTCTGGATACCTCATAGAGATATGGGTTGAAAACTATAATATCAGTGCATTGGTGAAGTCCGAGAGGAATACCTTCAAAGTAATAGGTAAAAATAGTTGTTACTGATTGCATGCTGTAGCAATCTGTCAGCATGGTTTCATGCTGTAGCATTTTGACAGTATTGGTCGACTGGAAATAGTATTTACATCTCACCCGAAAAGTCATACACCCTAGCTTGCTCTTATATTCTGTTATCTCCTGTTTTTAGTTGTGTTAACTCTGTTCTAATC